ATGTGTTGTTGTAAATGGCACAACTTCATTATAAATATATGTGCAACCACATATGAAATCCTGCAATTCCATCTCAAAAAAGAAGATCATAGTCCTGCGAAGGGTGCAATAAAAGGATATTAAATGATTTAAAGCATCTAGGACACATTCTCTATGAGGAAAATCTAAAGCAATCTAAACTTTTAGTTTAGAGGGATATGCTGGACATTCATGGATACCACGGCAAAATACAGAAATAATCATCATAATCTGTTTCTATGATGTGTTTTCACAAAATGATGCCCAAAGGCACTGGAAACATATCAAACAAATAGCAGTAAGTATATTTTTATTTTCAGTCCCTTTCCTAGTAATCGCTAAATGTGCCTTTTCTCCTGCTCCTGCAGCACATTGACTTGATGTTTCCCGGGAGCTGCCCTCCACAACCCTAAGATCACTTTCCTGGGTAGTTGAGACCAACTCAGAACACCCCATCCAATCACAGATTATGTATAATTAAGGGTAAAGCATGAATTGTGTTGTACTTAATCCTGTACCTTGGGATGGGTTGAACCCAAGCCTCCTTGATTTGGTTTTGAATTGGGCTTGGAAATTGACCTATTTTCAAATAAATTGGAAAACAAACTGGTTTATTTTGTTTGCGTCACAGATCCCTTCATGATCCTATACTGGAGGAGCAATAGAATCAAACATTTCTTCCAAGCCTCACTGTGTCTCCCCATTTCCTGTGGGCCCTTGTATCTTGACCATATTTATTTAAGAGCTTTTCTACACAACATGGTTAATTCTCTGTATTGTCTTTCATTTTTGTGGTAGATTTGAGGTTCTAGCACAATATGAGGAGTCTTTCATTTTCCATCACATACACTTGATGTGGCACTGCAGTATACCAGAATAGTGCAAATACTTCTCTGTCTTGGCTTAAACCCAGAACCAGAGATGAGCTGCCTACTGATAGTCACTGAAAGCAAGCATCGCAAATTGCCACTGTTTCTGTTTCAAACCAGGAGCAGATGGCCATCCATGATGCTGTTCAATTCCCATGTTGCTGCCTGCTCACCCATTTGGAAGGATCCTTTAACATTTTCTTAGTCTGCGGGCAATGTAATGTCACCATTCTGAATAATTTCATGGCTGGAAATCGTGCTTTCTCGCTGCTTGCCCTGGGCTCCAAATCATAAGCAAATAAGTTAAATAACATCCGGTCAATACAAAGTCTTAATGGCCATTGCTGCTTATTTCCCTCCATGGTGAAAATTTATGTGTGAGCTTTTAATGAGCTTTCATTAAAACTGGCACTACATCAAGGAGTTTCCCTCAGGCAAATACAGTAGGTTTCATGATAAGCAAGTTGTCACATCTGGGGTTTCATAATATTTGGAAAAAGGATGTTGCATTGTGTAAACCAAACTTTTAATTGAATAATTATATCACAGAATGTAATGTGAAATAAATAACATGCTCAAGTGATTTTAGAAACAGGAGGCCAGGAATTACTGGGTTCCCAAGAGAATAATGGCTGCCACAGGGTGGGGGCGGGGCAGTTTGAAAATGACAGTGGAAGAGAGTCGGGAACTGTGGCTGCTTGTGGGTAATCCTTGGGAGGAGGATTGCTCCCCAGGAAGGAAGGGGAAAACACAAGTGGGTGAGGCTTGGGAGCAGCTGATAAAAGTAAAGGAAGATAGAAGCCATGGGGGAACTCTTCTCCAAACAGAAAAGAATCAGATGTAAAGTGAATTGCCAGACCCCTTCTCTGAACCACTGTGGGGAAATAGAGAGGGAGGTGATTCTTAATATCAAGATTGCTCAGGTTGAATGGGAAGATAAGTTGCACATAGCCTTGCCATGGAGGAAGCAGTTCTTGCTCCTGCAGAAGGGTTCTGACAGCGGGAGGGACCATAAGGGGGAGTCTACAGCTGTGGGTTCATCCTGCACTGCCAAATTAAACACAGATCCTGCAACCCACGCCTCATTGACTAGGAAGCTGTCCCATTAAGGCAGAAAGGAGTGGTCTGAAGGAACAGGATTGCCAGCTGAAAGATCATGCAAAGTTATTAAGCCTTACTTTCGGAGGGACGGTCAAAATATTTTGCCTGTTGCCTCAAATGCTATGTTTTCTCAGATAAACTATGCAAAAAGCTTTTTAAAACTCATCTTCCCACCCCCCTGCCTCCCAAACAGTGCAAGAGCAAGCCTGTTACTTTACAGACAGTTGCCAGATTATGTACGAATGAATGAATGAATGTTGAGGCTCAGGATGCCCAGTTTCCCTGTTAATCAGCAGTCTACACTCAGGGGTCAGCTCCACTGAGAGTGGCAAACTCTAGGCAGCAGTCCCTGAGTAATGTGTCAACCTTCCCAGCTATTTTAAAGCCTCACTGCAGAAAATGAGCTTAGCAATCATCTGCAGAAAAGAGTTTTAATCTTATCAAGATGAGCATTGATTTTCTTCGTCTTGATATGAGGAGCTCCACAGCATGCACATGCAGCAGCGTCAGTGGGATGGGAAGTGCAGCTGTTCAGGCAAGGTTATTAATCTAGGGAACCTGTGGGTGCATCCATACACACGACAGTGTTGTCGTGGCACCTAGGCCCCTTATTGCCTAAACAGCAGTCATAGGCTCCTTGGTGCCTTGCTTCAAACTACCACCAGAGGGAGCTAGATTTTAATATATACACAGAATGCTGGCTGATTGCAAAGGCGTTAAGACCCATTAACAAATGCTGTTTCTGTAAAAGCTGTTCTCCAGCAGTCTGAATACAGTTAGAGATGGCATTTTTTCCCACCAAATTGAGATCATTTTCTGGCAACACTTGATTCTGCAGCATCTGAATGTAAATATTTCATTTCTCTTCTGTCTCATTGCTCTCTTGTGCGTGCGAGACTTCAGGAGACTGCAGAATGTTTATTGAAAACAATGGATTAGAGACCCTGTTAACAATGGTCACATTAGTGACCATGTTAACAATGGATTAGTGGTCTTTCTCTGTTCAACCTGGGAAAAACATTCTCAGTTTTTCACCAGTTGCCAAAAAATTTAGCATAGGCACATCTGTGCCTTCTAATATCTATAGATATTTTTAGGTGTTCTTTTGGATGTTATGTTGCCTGCTTTTAATATCCACAAATGAAATCTGGTGTACTAATTTAAGTTTAAATACATTACAGTGAGATTTTAAGTTGTTTATGTAATAGCCGTGTTCATTGCCTAACCAGACTGAAAGTTGGTCAAATTAGATACTTTATAAATTTCCTAATGTAATCAATACTTAGAAGGAAAAGAAAAACTCCACCCCATCTCCTACTTTTCTCTATTACCTGTGTTGACATGTTTAGCTTTTTACATTACTCAGCCATATGTTTGGAGAGAAGAGGGAGATTGTTTATTTGTTTTAAGACTAAAATATAGTTACATCAAGTAAATAAAGAGTGCTACTTAATTGGCAGTTACTGATACTGGTGGATATGCAACCAAGATAGGGAACTGATCACCTGTAATATCTTGATAGGAACACTGTCATGAAAACACCAGCATTGGAATTGTTCCTGGTAAAACGGTGGGATTATGCATTCCCTCCATAAGCATTTGTGTGTTACTCTTTGGACAATCACTGTGTTTCTTCTGTTGTTTTCTTATTTCATAGTCTACAAATATTGTTTTTGTCCCAATACAATTTTCTAACTAATCCAAGAACCAACCCCTTTCCCATCCTCTAAAGCTTTTTTTTTAGCCATTGAAGATATGGATCACATCAACTGTGAAGGCTTTTGTGAACACTGAAAAGTCGGCTTGTAAACTTTGAAGATCACATTAAAGCATTTTTGTTCAATCCAAATCCACAGTGAATGTTGCAAGGCAATGTATTCATATTTCAACCCATGTTGCTTTGGGATCCAGAAGAGAGTAAATGGTATTTGTTATGCCTATCAGTCCTGAAACAATTATGAATTTAAACGGCCCTATGAAGAAAGATAAAACCTTTGTTTAGGCATAATGTAAAATATTACTCCCATACCACCTCTCCTCTTTGCTTACTTTGAGAATATCACTTTATTTTAGGAATCCTCATCTGTGTTTCATCAGGAAACCAACCTCCCAATACTACTTGTGTGGGAGCTAAGATAGTATGTACTATATTTAAAAAAAAAAAAAACTCAATGACAATTCTATTTAATGATATATGATCCTGCCATCTTATCGAGTATTTTAGACAGGGTTGTCAACATTTGAAATCCTACTGCTACAGTTAATGAGGATGATCTTCATGGATCGGTAGGATTTTGTTTTCATTTGACCTTCATGTGTATCCCCATCACAGTTTGAAAGTTCTGGGGGCCTTCTACAGAAGAGTAGACTTCTCTGTATACCTCAGAAGTCATGGGGAACAGACATGTTGAGGCAGTCTGTCTGTTTAGTGGATGTCCTTTGCTCAGTCAGGAAGGTCAGCAGGTTGCCTTGCACAAATTTTTCTCCCCAGTTCCCTAAACTATTTCATAAGGTTATTTTCAGGGTACAAACAGGGAGAATGGAAATTCCATGCCTGGAAAGCATGAGAGGGACTGTATATGGACAGGACTATATATGAATAATTCCACAGAAATAGAACTCACTGACTGCTTGTGACTACTGAGGAAATAAATTGTGTTAGCATTAAAGACATCTTTTTAATAATTCTTTCCTTCTTCTTGTTGTATGCAGAGATGGGAGACTGTACAATAAGACTTTTCCTAGAAGTACATCAGCCTTGGGTATTTTACCTTTTAGGTTATATTTTTGCAGAATTTCATCACCAGAATCTGTGGTTCTGACATACAATGTTATGTTATCTGTGTTGTTGTTAGGAGTGGAGGCTTGGACAATTTTTTTCTTGCAGAATGGGAGAGTGAGAGCTGCCAGGACCATAAGAAGACTCATGATCAAGCTGTACAGTGTAAGAGTTTTAGACATTATCTTTCTGCATACTGACTCAAGATATTTATGTTTTGTTTTCTGAAACAGAGCAGAGACTGCCTGAAGCTGGGTCCCCCTACAGAGGGAGAAGTTGTTCAAGTGAAGTGGCCTGATGGAAAACTTTATGGTGCAAAATATCTTGGAACCAACGTAGCTTACATGTACAATGTGAGTTTAATTTACTGACCTGTTTATTAGAAATGTTCTTCCAGCATGGGTTTGGGTCCTCATGGAATGCCAGGGTTGTGTCGGCTGATGTAACAGTGAAGTTTTCTAACGGGGATAGCCAACTATCCCTGTAGTGCAGGACTGTTCTGTGTTGCTGCAGGGGGCAGGGTGTAGAACCCAGTGGTGGAAATGGCGGAGGAGCACCTTTCATCTAAACATGAAGAGAAACATTCTAACAGGAAGAGCGTTTGACCACAGAACAGGCTACCTTGAGAAGGTGATGAGTTCTCCTTTGCTCAGGGTACTTAAGCAGAAGCTAGAGAGCCATCTGTCAGGAATGGCTGTAGTTGCATCTCACATTGCACAGCATGCTTTGAATGCGGGTTGGACTAGATGATCTCTGAGACTCCTTTGGATTCTATAAACTGACATCCTGCAAGCTGATTTTGTCCAGAACCTGCAGTTCTGAGTGTTCAGTAGAGTGTTTCTCAGCTTTACCTCTGCCTTGGGAAGCTTATAGCTGTGATTTCAACAATCGGGAAAACAATTTACTTGGTCATGCAGAAAATGTCCAAGGTCAGTAAACCTGAGTGACTTGTTCTAATTTGTGGAATTAGAATGTGAACTCAGCTCGCCAGCTTTTTGGACTGTGAAGCACAGTTGGAAGGAGTTTCCATATTCTCACTGGCTTATACAAAACACTTAGGGAAATATTACCACCAGCTAAGACATTTTTTTCTAGTAAATTCATCTTGCATTGAAATAACAAAATCTTCTCATGTTGGAGAACATCCCACTAAGTACTCGTTATCTAAACTTTTCCCTATCTAGTGCATTTTACTTCTTGGGAAGTTACTGAGTATGTTGGAAGTCCAGGATACTCAGGTTTCAGACTGAAAGGCCCATAGCTTAGGCTCAAAGCAGGTTATGTGTCAATCCAGAAGCTGGTTTAGAGTTGGAAAGTCTGGCTCTGATCCGGGTAATCAGGGATTGACACCTGGAAGGGCAAAAGTGATTTGATGCTAGATTCATTTTCCTTTCTACAGTTTCCATACTCCAAATCGATGGTCTTAATTTATGAGGTTAAAGCTCTACAGTTTAGATCTAGAGATGCAAATACATACACTTAGCAGAGGATATCACCTGGGGATCTTTTTCAAACAATGTTCACTTTAAGAACTCATCATCCACCTCTTTTTGTGTGTCCTCGGTGTCTCTTACCTATGTGTTGAGAAAGGGAGAGGAATCACATGTGCTTAGCCCTCCTAGGGCTTCTAGCAAGTGTTTTCTAATATAGAGGAGGTTTGTGACCATGGAGTTTTCCACTCATTGTTAGTAAAAGAATATTCACATACTGGAAAAAAGAAGGTAGTTGTATAATAGTTCTCCAGTTTTCAAGGGACTTATATAATATGCACACCTCTGCTTTAGTAAGAGGGAAAACACTAAGAGATGTCCTTCTGTTGAGTACATTGTAATAAATCCCCAGTTAGTTTACAATCAGCAATTGTCCTAAAGTTATTACAAATGTGAAAACTTGAGCGTAAATATCCTTACCATTTGGCAGGAGCAGCAAGGGAGGTAAAAGCTTCAACTTTGGTCAGTTGCATACTCTTGGGGGCAGCAGGGAAATCTTGCCAGTGTAGTAGTTAACTACACTTGCAATAAGAGCACTTCAGTTGACGTTCTTGTGTGTGCTGTCCATTTTGCTAACATCCCCATGTTCATAAAATCCCCTTCAACAGCTGTGAATTAATGAAAGCTTAATAAAATGAATGGGAGCACCATGAAATTTGAACCATGCCTTGATTACTGTGGTCTCTTCTGGTGCCCAGCCTGTTACAGCTGGCCCTCCCTAGTCATAAAATTACAGCAGGTGGGGTGAATTCCTCACAGTGGTATTGCTACTCTTGTGCATCTCCTTGCATTTGGTAGAAGAATTCTAACATAACACATACTGTAAAGGGCAGCTTAGAAGTGCTGGTGTGAATGCTTCAACAAATGGCAAATGAAAATAAGTTAAAATGGTGGTCTTAAGTCGTTTAAGAGATACAAGAGTAGAGGCTGCCAGGGCGCCCTTGTTTATGACAATTGTGCCCACTGGAAACAGTTTTATGTTAATAAGCATGCATATCCTACTAGGAGCAGACTCTCTTTCTACTGGTAAAAGCAATGTAAACCAAGTTTAAGTTGTCTTTCTATGTTATATAAGAGCTACAATCACCAGTTTCCTGAGACTATATTACAATGATTAGATCATGGCAAAAGAAGTGGAAACAGTTGATGAGTCTGATGTCTGAAAAGGTGGCATTTGTAGATGCACTTTAGTTACCCATACCATTGTGGTAGTGTTTTTTAGACATTTGTGGGCAAAAGATGAGAAAAGGAGAGGTCCATGAATTTGACAAACCTTTATATTAGACAATTTGATACATTAGAGGTTCCTGACAGGAAGGTACTATAATACTTCAGCTGTTAGGTAACAAAACACTGATGAACCTTTTCTCCCTTAGAATGTGGGTAATTTGCATTGGAGAAGGATAGGGGGAAAAAACACCACTTTTTTTGTGGCAGTCACGTCCTCTGTGAAACGTCTATTCAAATGCTTTTACCCTACCATTGTTCCAGAGATAAATGTAGGTTTGACACTGTCACTGGCCAAAGTGACAGGGAGGAAAGTTGAATGACACAAGTGGCTGCTAGGAATAGGGAAAACTCCCCTTTCTTGTCCCTTCTTGGATGCAACCCACACTGATCAAGGTAAAAGGGAGTCCCTCAGGTCTTCGTTATGCAGAACTGCTGGAATGTAGCATGTGGTTTGCCCCTCATATACATATAACTAGGTTTGATGCCCCTGTATTTTTTCTTAGAATTAGTTATGTTAGTCAACTCTTCTATTTTTCAGATGGTAGAGTACTTGTGTATGATACAAAACTATAAGAGAATCAATGTTTTAGTGCTGCAGGCCTAAGGAGATTTTGAAATCCACATGTGATTCCACCCTTGTCCCGCAAAAAAGTTTGAAAATCTGTGCCATTCTCATAGGTAAATTCACAAAGCAGCAGAGTATAGTTGCTATGGTACCAAAGAAGGATCTGTTCAAGCAGCCATTATGATTTTTCTAAATGCACTTACTTAAAACACATTCCAGACATACTGGTCAATATGTGGACACCAAGGCTATATTTTGAAATGAAAATGTGAGGCTAAATTTTTAATGCCTTATAATTTTGCTTATGTGTTCCTTTTTAATATGCATACACAGCCTTATAAAGATAACTAAGTTCTCCAAGTAGATCATTGAATGTTTTCCACGAATTCCAGTTAAATCACTCATTTATTATGTCGTAATGCATACGGAGAAAACTAAATAGCAAGTACTCCTGACAAAATACTGCAGTAGTGGTTTTTAATTTTTGTGTGTCTATTTCTCAGTGCTGATATAAATTAATATAGACAGTATTTGACAAACTTGCCAGTCTACAGTTTGCCAGTTGAAGCCTGGTTCAGACTTAGACTCATTAAAGATAATCTATTGACACTCCCTGTCACAGCTACTATTGAATATCTGAAGGAACCATTATTTATTCTTAGTTTTCAGCAATTCGGGGATAGTTTTCAGCACAGAATACAATCTGATTTCCAATTAACCAGAGTGGCAAACAGAAATGGAATTGTCAGTGAAAGGAGTGAAAACATATACCAAGATTCTTCTTTGCCTTGGCTCCTTTATGTGGTCCATCCTACCTAAGTTTGACTTTCTTTTAGAAGTCTCTCACTGCTTTTAAATTATTATCTTTATCATGCTACAAAAGAGGGAGGAATGGCAAGCTATGTCCTGAAGCATGTAGTTTTGAGCTAAATGGTCAAAATTTGAGGTAACTGTTTTACTAGCAGTTATATAATATTGGTCTCGGCATTACTATGAGAGAAAATTATTTACATTGATCAGCTAATATCAATTAATTTGACATATTCAGATTGTTTAATTTAAGGCATGCAGTACAAAATCTGCAATAGGTTGTTCATACCTATGCATTTCACTTTCACATATTCTTGCTGAACTGTAAACTTTTATAATAGCTGCATGAGGACATGGATGTAATAATTTTGAGCTTAGGCATGATGGGGCGGGGGGGGGTCATCAGAACTTAATCTACCTGCCTTAAGCCCATAAAATGTCTGTGCATATGATGTTGTATGACTGAAAATGTAAAAATGGTCCAGTCCTTGTAACTGGTCCTCCTCACAAGAGGGAGGAATTGGACCTTCAAGCATTATACACAGAGGCCCTGTTTGAAGTTGTTGACCAATGCATGGATACTGAGATAGAGGAGAAGATGGAGCACCTCAACATAATCACAATCTTCCTTCTCACATAGGTTCTGGATCAGAGGTGGGCAACTTGTGGTCGTCCAAATGTTTTAGCCTACAACTTCTATCAGTCCATACCAATCAACAGTCAATTATGAGGGATTATGGGAGTTGGGGGGGGGGGGGGGGGTGGAAATCAGGACAGCAGCAGCTTCCCTTCTCTGCACTAGATAAATCTGAATATAGTTTGTCTCCAGCTATACATATGCACATTGGTCATTGTTTCTTTTATAACAATAAATTTTTGAATAGGGTTTGCACTTCTAGTTTTTCTTTTACTTTTTTTGTTTTGATTTTATTCTGTAGTTTTAAACTGTTAATCTGTTACATTTCATCTTGTTATATTTTATATTTGTAATTGCTATGAACTGCCCAGAGATCTTTGGTTACTCGGCAGTATAAAAATGCAATAAAGAATTCAAATTTAAGAATATAATTGATTTTTTAAAAATAAATTTATAGATACTATGTCCATGACTGGTAGTTAAAAGTTGGAGTTAAAAAAATGTAATTTAGAACTTCTGGAAGGCACAAGCAATGCAGTGGCACCAGAGTAATTTAACATTCTTCACACTTACCTGCATTTCCTTTCTCATTTTCTGCTAAAGGGGTTCATGCTGGATTAGATCTAAACCTAAGCATGATAAAGCTTTTCATCTTCTGAACAGACTATTTTAAAGAAGTTCTATCAGATTCAATATAATGCTGTTAACTGGCATTTCCTTTAGTATCACTCATATTTGCCTCCTTTTGATATAAGTCTACCACAACTTTAAAAACAGAAAGAATATGTCTTATCACTTGGGAAATTAGAGGCAAATGCATTAAGCCTTTAGCTTGTTCCAAAACTATTTGTTAATGTTGGAATTTTTGATGGAAGCCTGGAAGACAGAGCAAACTGAGACATGCTTCCCTGCTGAGTTAGCCAGTATTCACCACCACTAAAGTTAGGATTTCAAGGTGTTAATCTGAAGAGATATTTTTCTTTCTTGCTCGTGTGTTCCGTATGTACCAGGAAGAATTCGTGCAATTGAGGCCCTGTCCCTTCTGTCAGGCAGAGGGATGTTATATGGAACAGGTGCTGAGGTTCAGCATCTCCATAACATTCTTCAGCACACCTAGTTCTGGCAGGGAGTGCATTTGTACAACTTCCCTTAAATATTTAATTTAAAAGTTTAGACCTAAATAATGATGCTTTCTTTCCTGTATTTCAACTTTTAGACTTTGTATAGAAGTTGCAGGACACACATCACTAACATATTTCTAAGCAAGTAAAACACTTTGGTCAGAGAATTACAGAATCATTTAACGCTTGCACATAATTTAAACTAAGTTGACTTTGCTCAACTTTTTTTGGACTGCATATGGAGTTTTAATTTTAAAAAACCACCTCTGACCTGTTTTTACATCTTTCTGTTTTAGTATTTCCTTTCCTATCATTTTGTATATATTGATTTCTGTGAATTCTCATCAAATGTGTTATTGCTTATTTTGCGTACTGTCCAAAGTATTTGATTGCCTGTGCTGTCTCATACAAATGGGAGAGCCTCAAATAATGAAGATGATGATTAAACATGACTAATTTCCTTATTTTACCTTTTAGGTAGAGTTTGAAGATGGCTCTCAGATAGCAACAAAGAGGGAAGAAATCTACACTCTTGATGAAGAGCTTCCCAAAAGAGTGAGAGCTCGATTTGTAAGTATCCACAAAGAAGTTGTCTGTGCTAGAAATTTGGAAGGAATACCACCAGGCCAAGATTTGAAATCCACGGGGACTGCAGCCAAGAAATTAAAAGACGCTTGCTCCTTGGGAGGAAAGCTATGGCAAATCTAGACAGCATACTAAAAAGCAGAGACATCACCCTGCCGACAAAAGTGCGTATAGTCAAGGCTATGGTTTTCCCAGTTGCAATGTATGGCTGTGAAAGCTGGACCATAAGGAAGGCTGAGCTCCAAAGGATTGAGGCCTTTGAATTGTGGTGCTGAAGGAGACTCCTGCGAGTCCCTTGGACCGCAAGGCGATCCAACTGGTCAGTCCTAGAGGAGATCAACCCTTACTGCTCTTTAGAAGGCCAGATCCTGAAGATGAAACTCAAATACTTTGGCCACCTAATGAGAAGGAAGGACTCCCTGGAGAAGAGCCTAATGCAGGAACAATAGATGGCAAAAGAAGAAGGGGATGGCAGAGGATGAGGTGGCTAGATGGAGTCACTGAGGCAGTTGGTGTGAGCTTGAGTGGACTCCGGGGGATGGTGGAGGACAGGAAGGCCTGGAGGAAGGTTGTCCATGGGGTCGCAATGGGTCGGACACAACTTTGCGACTAACAACAACAACGTAGAATATGGGAGCTTTATAAAAATTCTGTGACTGTCTAACTTTTTCTGTGTATAAGGTTTAGATATTCAAGGTTAAGCAGTAACTAGCATACAAACACTTTTCTCCAGGTTACCTGATGTAATCATGGCAGCAAATTTCCTGGAGCTCATGTCAGGTTCCTGGAGAGCAGCTGCTATAGTCCTTGCAAAGACTGCACCCAGTGTAGCTAATTAGACCTAAACTCCCTGCATCCCCTGTCTAAACTCAGTCTATAAGCTGCCTTCTTTTTTGCATTTACCTGCTGTAGCGCGCCAGTCCCTCCCTGTGGGACAATTGACTATTCAGGAAAAAAACATGTACAGCTAATAAAAGAACAAGGTTGTTGGTGGTCATCAAATATCTTAATCTGGTAACACTTTTGTCAAAAATATAGCCATAGACTCATTCCCAGTATGGACAACTAAAACTTTTAACAGTATCCTGACTATTCCACCCCTACATCAAACACCACTAAACCACTTTTTATAACATCTTACTAGATTAAGAGATGTGGAGATCCTGAAAGCTTGCATGTTATCTTTGAGCTGACCTAGTAAATGAATTACTCTACTTGGATTTTGAAATAAGCATGTTCTACTTTTAAATTGGCCAAAGACCCTCATGTCTTTGGCCCATAGAAAAGGAAAATTAAAGTAGATTCCCTGGTAGACGAGGAACTATTTAAGCCAATATCTGTTTGGCATTAAATGGAGGTACCTCTAGTCTATCAGTTTCAAAATCTTAAGCAGAGTTGGTAAAACCAACATATATCTGCATAATAAAGATAGTACTTGAACAGAACTATAAATAACCCTATTGCTGAGAACAGTTGATTTAAAACTCCCCCTGCCCCCAATACTATATTAATAGTTACTGTTTTATGGAGTATTCATAATAGACTTTAGAACTAACTAGATAAACAGTCAATCTGTTTTATTGTTACATTCAGCAACAATATGAATAGCAGTTCAGGAGTAGTTACTTTCTTATTATCAATGTGACAGTTTTAAGGATTGTTTTTACTTTTGTCTATGATAATCTGAACTTTTCAGGGAAGTGAATTATATTTTTATAATGTTCCCTGAAATCCAGAAATCTCTTAGTATCTGGGCACATCCTCTCACTTTGGAAAAGTTTTATTTGCACGCAGATCCGAAACAGTAAGTTAATGGGGAGGTTCACACATCATACCAACCCACCCTGACAATAAACTATGTTGTTGTGGGTTTGATCATCTGACATACATTGTGTCTAGCAGATGATCAGGTTCATCATGGTTTGTTTACCCCCCACACACCCTTGATCCTCCAAATGCTATTCCAGGGGACATCATGGCAGACCTGACTTGTCTTCTCTGTGACTGCAAATCTCTTTTCACTCTATCTAGCTTCCCCCCACTCCCATTTCTCCTGCCTTGTTTGGACAGCAGGTGACAGTTCTTCTGAAGTGCCCAAGCAGCACATTGGAGGGGCTGTCACTGGTTGGCAACCCTTGAAAAAAATGTGCTTCAGATATATACTTCTCCTGGTCACTTCTTTTAAAAACTTCCTACGTGCAATCATGGGGATTGCAGATCCAAAAGAGGAAGCCTCCGCTGGGCAATTATGGAGAAGGATACTTGTTGTCAAAGTGCAGAATGCCAACCCTGAACATTGACCCAAAGAAGCTCCAAATAGGGTCTTCCCCCCTCACTTTGCTTCCCATGACAGATGTCAAAAGGCAGGTTGCCAGGGGAAAGCAAAAGCCACAAGGTGGTGAGATTTACATGCCCTTTGTGCCCAGATTGTTGTTTTTGTTTGTTTTTTTGTTTTTTGCCCGAATTGTCCTCAGGGTACCACAGTTTCTTCTTTTCTCCATGAGAAAAGTGCATCTCACCCATTTTTCAGAGTTTTGACAGGGCAGTTGGTGTGTCTTTTTAATCAGATAAATGATTCTTTCCTAGCTCAGCCTAGAAAAGCAGACCACTATGAGATTCAGGAGGCTGTTCAATCTAATACTATTGCTAACATAAATTAGCATCAGTGGCCTCTAGCACAATGCCAGTAGTGTATGCTGAGCTGACAGGTTTCCCCTGTAACCTCTGATGCTAGCGTAACATAGTCTGCATGGGTAGCCTTAAATGGGGAATTGCATGGCCAAGTATCAGGAGTACTGGGAGTTGTAATCCAAAAATTGTGGGAGTAGAGAGCATATGAGGACGATGGCAGAAGCATAGCACTGACCCCGCAAAGAGTCTTGAAAAAGACGAAGAGACCATTCTCTGGGGCTGTTAGTTAATACTGTGTGTCCATGTTTCAGCTGTGACTTTCTGACTGGGTCTGAGAAACCTTCATCATTCTCATATCTGAAAATGATACTTGTCATGATTGTCCAAATAATCCTTAAATCATCTTGTTGGGATAGCCAGTTGCTGTTCAGAATGTGACAGAGTTGTGCCTGTAAACAAATAATATAAATGATCTTAAGTTCCTTGATTTGTTAGTTCTGTAATTACAGCGCTGTGGAATTAAAAATAGGGCAGCAATATATTGAAAATAAAATTACAGAAATGTATAATACAGAAAAACTGCCTCCTTCAGGATACTTAGCAGTGTAATTGAAATGGTTTGAAGTCTACTGGCAGCAGAAGCAACTGTCTGGTCTCTTCTTTCCCCACCATGAAAACTGGGTCTCTCTAAAGAGGGCCTGACAAGCAGATTAGAATGAAAACAAGCTTCTCTCTTGTCTTCCTAGCTCTGTTTCTGTATGTCTCCAATGTACTTAACCCTTCTGCAATTCTAAAACAAATGATACAATGAATTCCACCCACTCCAGTTGGGGTCTGGCTTCTGGATAAGGAAAGCTCCTGCCGTGCTCCATCCTGTGAAGCTACCTACAGCACTGAAGGCCCCACATGCAGAGTGGGATTCCTGTCTAAGAACGGATCCAAGCAATCTGGCCGTAGGAGGAGGTGTGCATATTTCGATGCTCTTCCACACCCAGGAGGGGGCTAGGCTATGCTAGAACCACCTACCAGATGAATTGCGCCTTATGATGGGTACACATGTATAGAAATGCTCTAAAGCTGAAGACAGTTTGTGAGTGGTAAACAGAAGGGAGCCTTTTTTTTTAACTCTTCAAGAGATTTATGTTTTGAAGACATGTGCTTATACTAAAGTAGAAAAACTGCTTAAATTGTGTTCTTTTATGTAACTGTAGGTGAAATATGCTCTATACTGAATGTCTGTTTTTAGTCTACAGCTTCTGATATGAGATTTGAAGACACATTCTATGGAGCTGATATTATCCAGGGACAAAAGAAGAGGCAGAGGGTATTGAGCTCCAGGTTTAAGAATGAGTACGTGGATGACCCCGGCTATCGCAGCTTCCTGAAAACCTCATTCCAAAAGAAGTGCCAGAAGGGGCTATAAAGGAAGGAACGAACTCACGCTCACCTGCTCTTTCTCTTTGTGTGGGGAAGAGATGAAATGTATTCAGTGTGGGGTAAAGGAAACAGACAGAGACTGTCATCATTTTGATGTTCTTTCTTTATGTCAGGTTATGGTTGAAATGTTTCTTGAAGTTATCAAGAGTTCTACCTAAATATATTTTGGACTCATGTAACCTGCTTAATTTCAGGGCCCCAGTCTTGGGAGAATATTTGAATCAGACTTCTCCAAATGTCTGACTTACATTAAGGGTGATCGGTATAACACCGGCAATCAGGAGCCCTGGCAAAGAACAAGCCTAAGAACCACAGTTCCACAAATCGGTGCGTGTGGACTCTTGCCTTCCGCCAGCAGTTGCAAGAGGCCTTCCACCTCTCCCTTTAACGATTTGTATATTTTCCAAAGTTCCACCAGTTTGCTTAGGAACATCTTAAACGTATGAAATATACATCTACATTCTCAAACAAGTGCAAGTACAAAGAGCACTGAGATCTGCAAACGCTGTGCTGTCATAACGTTGTACAGTGCTTTCCGTGCTGTTGATGCCTTCACTGCTTTCAGTCCACTCTGGCTAGGATTCAGTTTTTCACATGGCTTTTGGGCAGGGAGGGGATGTTAATGAGCAAAGGGCAGGTGCTTCTAAAGAAGGAGATCTTCAGGAAAGGAAAGGGGTTATATTCTATTTAAAGAGGGAAATTTTTGGCATCTATTTTTAAACTTTTTTTCATGATACTCTTGTGGGGGAGGGGGAAGCAATTTGTACAATAAAATGTCTTTCATTGTATTTGTAAAATTAGAGTTTACATATCTTTCCTTGGCAGGCTAATTTTGAACTAATGTAATATAGTAATATAATTTGGTCCTCCCTTTTTAAATAATAGTCTGCAAATGTAATAGTGTTTGAAATAAATAAATGATTTCCCTTTGCTTACTAAAGTTGGGGTGTGACAATTATATATTACTGCTAGGGGTCATTTTTAATAAATCCTGCTTAATACACATCTTTGTTCAATCACGGGCATTTAGGCCCAGATTAATGCATGATGCTATGCATATGCTTTGGTGTGTGTTTTTACAATCTGGTGCATGGTTCCAAGTATTTCTTAGAAATACAGTTGCTGTTGCCTTAGAGAGTACGGTTTGCACCATAACATCATGCTGCAATGCACATTTGGACCACAGATGGGCCCAATTTGTTACTACTTCAGCATGCAGAGACCTTGGTAACCCAGTGTGAAGATGGGATGCCTCACAGGCTGAGTTCAATATGCTCAGCATCACATTTAAATCAATACTTTTTTCAGATATATCCTTTATCTAACCATTGAATCTGTTTCCTCTCTTCATTTTACTTTGCCTCATGGTGTTCATTTTTGCAAAATAGCACAACAGACAGAATAGGCTTGTGTGTTTTCCCATTCTATTTGCAAAAGATGTTTTAGAACTAAAAAAAGCCTTCATGAGCTTTAGTAAAATGTCATACATTATAATGGACTGCCTAACAACAAATTTCCAGCTGGCTCCAACATGGATAAAACTCTCTGAATACCATTTTCTTCTATATATAAATTCTCGAAGGACATTTTCTCTTATTCTGCTAGCGGCATTCTGCACCTGTATTTCACTACTGGTACTACAAGGCAGCTTAAGCTTGGGACTGCTACATCATCTTATGGCCTCAGGTTAACTTCATGTCTGGCAGAGTTTGAACTTGGGTTTCTCCAGCCCTAGTCCAATTCTCTGTCCGTGACAGCTTGCTGGTTCTTTTTATAAATTTTTATTAATTATTATTAAACCAGATTTATTGTAAGGTATCATTATTTTAAAGAACATTTTAGACTGCCTTTTGACCCATCTAAACCCCCCTGCAAAATGGTTTACAGGAACATTAATATCAATAAAATAATGTTAATAATAAACACAATTAGTCTCACTAATTTACAACAGCAGCAGAAAAAATAAAGTTTTAATCTCAAAATTAAAAATGTTAAAACCCAGCAGAAGTGAAAATGCTTTACCATCTGCCTAAAAACCACCAGGAATCCTCTGAAGTATCTGAGAAAGGCAATTTCACAGATTTGCTGCAGGAAAGCCCCAGTATACTCAGGTCTATATAAGTCCTTGACTATCCCTGAACTGGAAATGGACCAGTACAATTGAATTAAGACCCATGTAATATGCTCTGAGAAATGCATGTCGGAAGGTATGCTCATCACTGCGCTTTGTGCTAACTACAGAGCCTAAATAGTCTTTGAGGTCAGTACTGCTTTGGAGTAGGCTAACGTGGATATTAGCAAGGCATGTTTTAGTAGAACCAATTTTGTCTCCATCAGACAGGGAGGTAGCTGATGCTGAGAAAAGGCACCAGGTCAGAACAGGCACTTGAGCATTCAAGAACGCTAGTGGATCTTGGCGAATTTCCAGATTGCAAACCTCATCCTTCAGGGGAAATGCAGCATCATCCAGAATAGGTTGTACCCCCAGTTCTGGATCAACTTGTCTACTTACCATCAGTACTTCTGTCTTTTCTGGTCTGAGCTTTGGCTTCTAAGTCACTGTCCAGGCAACTATTTTGAACAGTTTTCTTGGGGCTACGTGAAAAAGAGAGCATGTTCAGCGATCTCAGTGCAGTGATGCTGTCCCACAACTGGATGATGATCAGTGGCTTCACAGTTGTGCTAAAAGGCTTAAGATAGAAGATAGAAACCCACAGACCACGGGGCTGAACAGTAATCCTCCAGCGGATTCCTACCAGGGAATGTTTAACTAAATAGGACTGGAACCTTTGTGAAATAGTTCCTTCACTCCCACATGAGCCATGCATCCAGAAAAAATACTATGGTCAATGAAACTGCCACTGAGAGGTCCAATAGTATCATTTGTTCACACATACTCTGTCTAGCTTCCACTATATGTTCTTCCATTGGGTCTTTCAAAGTCTTTCAAGGATCCCAAGACATAGTTTCATCCAAGAAACCTGGAGTTGAATTTAGAAATCAGCTGTTAAATATGGATTGGATCCAATGTTTGGATACTTGGAAGGTTTCTTGTTACAGTGATCTTACAGCTATATCCACTAATGGTACAGGAACACAGACGTCCTTCAAAGAAGCATTTATGACCACCCTTACCTCACCAGCAAGCAAATGGTTGGCTCACCCCTCCAGGCAACTTGTCTGCATTCTCAAGATGAACAAGAAAAATCATCCATCAAAAACTGGATGATTGGACATCTCAGTCACCTTCAAAGAACCATGATCTTGCCTGTCACTGTAATCAGAAATTTGGTGGGCTCAGTTGGGGAAATTAACTTCTCATCCCTACCAGTAGGTTTTGGTCAGACAGACCAGGTCAGCATATTTATCCATGATTTAATCCTGGATCATAAGGTCTTACCAGTTACTCCCTGGGCATTATGCAGTACCATATTTGGATTAAATAGATTCACAATAGAGAAGTCAAGGATCTATTGGCTGGGTGGTAAACCAGAAGAAAAAACAAACTTAAGATGTCTAATCCTATATTTTCTACAGACCAGTTTTGTCATGCCTGGCTAAGGTACAGGCCATCATAATTCTTTGAATGAAGGCCCTAAGATTAGAAATCCTTTGTGGAACCCCCTTACCCTAGTGGAACTTCAGGCACCTCCAGCATTAGCAACATGAGGCACTAAAACACTCTGAGGAAACCTCAGATAGGAGCTCAGTTCATCTGTGGGATCAAATGAGAAGGGCAAGTCCTAGAACAAGCTGGAGATGCCGGCTGCCACTCAAAGACAAAATGCATGTTCCAAGAAATGCAACACCTGGCTACTTGGGAATAAACTCCTCACCAGTAAGGTCCTCCTCACAGGAAGAACTTCTTCCAGAAGCCTCTGATGTGCCACAACTGAGACCTGAATGGGGAGTCTGGAAACTCCACCTTATAAACTGTCAGTTTGAACTGACTGGCTTCTGGAAGAATGCCTTTATTCCAACTTCAGAGCTTTGCTATTCCTTGAACATGCTGCTGGCTTCTGATAAGACTTAGCTTTTGAACTAGACAGGTAATCCTGTGCTCTTGACCTTTTTCCTGCCTCTTGGTTTCTCCTGCTTTGATTGGGTCTCTCTTGCTGGACTGATAGAAACTGTTCTTTGACTCTTTGTAAGCTCGTGTAATATATCAACCAGAATATTAGCTACTGACAAAGTGCCAGCCATGGTGGCTTGGTCTTCTGCTTAGGTACTATTTAAATCAAAATGACCAGTTTCTCAACTCTTCATTGTACAAATGGACTCTGGTGCTCGATGAGAGAGGAACTGGAGAGATTTTTGGATTCTGCAAGGGATCAAATACATGTTGCCTTTCTAATAGCAAAGGGGTGAAGTGGTTCCCTCACTTTCATGTTGTTATTTTTCAAGGTATGAAGTACCCCAAACCACTTCAACATCCTTCCAATTTGAGGAAAAACAAATGGAAAGTGTAGGCCTAAACTATGAGGAAGGGGATGAATAATGAGGACTGTATTTTTGGATACTTGTACAAAACAGGCATTAGCTCCCTTTACAAGCCAGTCCTTTAGTGCATAATCATAATGCATGTACCCATGCTGGGCAAATAAATTCTGTGGAAGTCTGTCCTTCCTACCAAGTCATGACCCGAGTTTCCTCTCTCCTACGAAAACCAGTGAGCATTTACTGGAAAATGAATGTAAGTGACCTTAGTCAATTTTCTTTCTATTCCCTACATAGTTGTTCTGTGTTGAAATAGTGAAAGGAATGGATTGTCTCCTGTAGAAAAGAATTAATGGGTATTATTAAAGTTTTAAAAAAATCTTCCAGACTCCAATGGAGAGGAACTACAGAAGGGTAATCATTAGCTAAATGAGCTATTAATTTCTCCATGAATGTTAAAAGTATGGGCATAGTAGCCAGTCAAAGAGTCCCCAAGGAGAAGAAAATTAGAAACCCACAAGTTCTATGGGTTTCCTGAGTGATTGATTATATGTCATCTATACAGACATCCTTATTTATGTGATTTTGGTTAGAAAAGGAAGTCGCCTGCCTGGCTTCTAATCTGGCATTCCACTATCGATGGTAAGGAGGGAGTGTGTGACCAGAAGAAATACTAACCTTCTAACAGATTGTCCATTACCTGATCAAAACATAATTTAAAACTAGCAAAAATAGCCAGCACTTTCCTAATTGATCAAACATTTCAGGTCTTCATCTAATTTTTTAAAATATATCTGCATGTTGCTTAATATTCATTGTTAATTCAGTTGTTAAGGGATGTTAAGGGAGCGTAAGATTGCTTGAGAAGTTAATGTACAGGCACTATCATTTATTGTTCAAAAAACATATGTACAATTTTCTATTTTCTATTAATTACTGCAGAACCAATGTCGCCACAAAATTAAGGAGAGCATCCTTCATTCATCCTTACTACTTTAGATTTTTTTCCTCATTTAGGCTGCAATCCTTTATTGATCCCAGTTGGACCTTCTAAGTAGACATGTAGGATTGCACTGAGAAATTGGCTCCCATGATTAATGAACGAATGCTTTAGGTCTGGTCCTCAGTGGAGCATGTCCCTTTGAACACAATGGGACTTGTTTTGAAGTAGACATGTCTAGGAAGGTGTTGCTAGTTGATTAGTCTTTGAGATAAATGAATTAAAGTTTGCAGCCCTAAATACATCCTTCCAAGTATCACGTTTAGTCTACCAAGCGTTAAAACGCTTTTTAAAGGTGTCTCTCTTCCCCTTTCGTCATCTGTTGGATCTCTGCAGAAAGGGCCAGGAAAATAAAGTCCTGTCCTACTGCTGTTCATTATGCCGAAAAATGCCGCATGTTACGTATTGTACGTGCAGACTGTTGCACTATTTTCTAGTGTAAAACATGTGGCAGGGACTCCTGAGCTTGTACCAGGATCCTCATAGCCTGAAGCTGGG